GCTCTCCTCCCTGGATAGGAAGAAGGAGAAGTAGACTGCAGAATGATGCAGACCTCTTCTAACATAATAAAGTCACGTGTGGGCTGCTGAGCTCCACAAGCTTCGGACAGCCTACAGGGGTGGCTTCACGCACAGCCCAGGTTCCCCCATTGTTGCTTTAGAGATGGCCGTGCACTGTATTTTGCATCATGGAATTTTATGTCGTTCTCTAAACTGGTGTACTGGTAAAGGCACACGCACACAGGTCTTCAGCTTATGGCCTGGGAGACGAGCCAATGGTGTAAGACTAGAAAAGGCAGTCCATGGTCTACCGGCTTTAAGCATTATTAAGGAATTCAAATCTTGCCATACAATTGCCCACAAAATACTTTCAAACATTACCTTTTCTGGAATGAAAACCTGCTTCCAGGGTGTGTTGAAGGCCGAGTCCAGTGCAGGGAGAGGCGGAGCTGTTTCTGAAACACCAGGCCCTGGGTTCCTTCTCCCCGGAGCGTGGTGATTCCCACACGCAGCTGGCCATCAGGATTGATTCTGCGTCGCCCATGGCAGCTTGCTGCTCTCTCTGCTTTGCTGTACCCGTCCTAAAGCCTAAGCCAGCTCATTCTTCTGTGCAGTTCCAGAACTTCCGAGCCCCGCTGCCTGAGGACGCTCTGCAATTCCCGGGCCAGTGTTTAACACAGATGTGTAACTGCGCACGCGCGCACACACACACACACACACACACACACACACGTGACTCCTCGCACATGGTCTAAACCATGCATTCATGTTTATGGAAGCTTTGTGTCCATCCTGCCAGGTGAAAGTAGTCAAATTCACCCCAAGTCCACATCTGACAAACACCTTTGTGCTAGTTACTGCCCTTCCCCTCCTCCTCCTCTTTCCCCTCCTTCTTGTCTTTCTCCCTCCCCCTCTCCCTCCCCCTCCCCCCTCCCCCTCCTCCTCCCCCCTTCCCTCTCCCACTCCTCCCCCTCCCCCCTCCCTCTTCTTCCTTCCCTCTCCCACTCCTCCTCCTCCCCCCTCCTGCCTACGTCTCCTTTCACACCTGCCTGTCCCCCCTCCTTCCTGCTCACTTCGCTTCTCTAGAACATAGGATTTTTGCATCACTTCTTTCCTCCATTATTTAAAGTTTTATTTTTGTTTTATTTTTGGTTTTGTCTGTCATGGGCTTGAACTCTGGACCTGGGCGCTGTCCCTGAGCTCTTCAGCTCAAGGTGAGTACTCTACCACTTGAGCCACAGCGCCACTTAATCTTTTCTGGTGGTTCATTGGAGATGAGAGTTTCACAGAATTTACTGCCTGGGCTCAGATCTCAGCCTCCTGAGTAGCTAGGATTACAGGTGTGAGTCTCCGGCACCCAGCTAAAGTTTTTAATTTTATAAATTTTTTGTCAGTTGTGGGGCCTGAACTCTGGCCTGGGCGCTGTCCCTCAGCTCTTCAGCTAAGGCGAACGCTCTACCACTTGCCACACAGCAGCTTTTTCCGTGTATGTGATGCAAAGGAATCAGACCCAGGGCCTCATGCATGCGAGGCAAACACTACCACTGAGCCACCTTCCTAGCCCTAATTTCATAATTTTTAATAGAAATCACTTGTATTTTCCGGATGATTCACATACGCATATACACACAGACCATTTTGATTATTCGTGAGGTCATTTGGATAAAAAGTATTAAAAGTGTGCCTTCTTTATCAATTTATTAATTTCGTACTGAATAAGAGATTCAATTCTTTCTGATGCTATTAATGGGCACCTTTGAATCAAGAATTGGAGGTTGCTACTTGATATAATTATCGTATTTTGTATAAAACATTAATGCCACATGCAGTGCTTCTTATTCTTATAGTTTGTTTGCAAGTACATATGTGTATTTCCTGTCTCATAAGCAAGACCCAAGGCATTGAGGCTTGGTGCAGGCTACTGTGAAGGAGCAAGCTTTGACTTCCAGTCTGATGGAAAGTCAGCTTCCTGCAGCCACACCACTGCGGTGGCTGGGATGGGGCCGTCTTCTGAGTATCTAAGCTGCAGTGATTTTCAAAGCTTGGTTCTGGGTCCTGTCATTGTGGCCTCAGACTTCAGGACAAGCAAGTGGGCACACCAGGAGCCTTCTCTGTACTTTCTTGGGCAGTGTGTCTCCTAACTATTGAAATACTGGTTTCCACTTTTTTTTATGTTTGCTATCAAGGAAAAACAATGCTGTGGACATTTTACAACTGTTTCTTTAGAGTAGCAGGAAAGAACCCTAAAGCACAGGATGGCTTTGGGGTAGTTTTGTAAAAGCTGAAGGCTGCTGGGTGGACTGTGGAGGCTGGGCAGAGGAGGTGGGGAGGGCTGGGCCTGGGGACCTTGCTGAAGCTGGGGTGCGGGATGGGCTGGCCTGCGCCTCCACTCGGCCGCTGAGTGGCCTGGTAGCCTGGGATTTGGAAAACCCAGTGGAGATAGGGAGAGAAGGCAGGCTTCAGTGTGCAGGGGTACTGAGCCTCTGGACACCAGCAAGGGACCCTAGGTTCCTTGCTCCCTGATCTTCCCTCGGTCCTTTTTGGGGCCTAGGCCTTGCTGGAGCTCAGGATGGGACCGCCTCCCAGCCCAGCCTGGAAGGCTCCAGACCTGAAAGTGGGGAAGAAGAGCCACACAGTGGGGAGCGCCAGGGGAGAGAAGGCCTTCCCACGAGGCCGGCCAGGTGGAGGCCCAGAGGCCTAGGAGGGAAGCAGGTTGGGCCCTAGGTGCCTCCTCTCTCCCTCCCTCCTCTCCCCTCCCCTCCTCTCCTGGCGGCAGTGCGCGTCTCTCTCCACACCGGGGCGCCCGAGCCCGTTCTAATGCAGCAGGAGGAGTGGCCGCGAAGCCCAGGCTGGGCCCCGCACCGGGGTCACTGTACCACACCCGCACTCCTCCTAATGGGGGCCCAGCGGGGAAGAGCAAGGCGAGAAGAGTCGCCTCCATCCCGCAGTGCCCCAGCTCCCCAGTGGAGCCGAGCTCGGGGCCTGGCCCGGCTGGGCCGGGTTGGCTAGGAGACCCAGGCCCGGCCTCCCAGGTCATGCTTAGAGCCGGTGTCCCGGGGCGGCTGGAGGCGGGGTGGGGGGGGAGTGAGGGGAGAAGCACCCCGCCCCGCCAGGCCCCGCTCCCCGCCCCCTCCCACCTGCCCCGGGCCCGGCCCGAGGTCTTGGCTCTCCCTTCGAGTTGGGCAGGAAAACGTGGACGGCAGCTGGAGCCACCGGGCAGCAGGTGGACGGGGCGCCACCCCCGCCATCGCCGGGGTCGGTTCTGGGCCTAGCTGCCCCCGCGCCCCGGCACCGCGGGCCGGGCCGGGCCGGGGCCCCTGGCGCCCTGCGCCCCGCGGTTCCCACCCCCGGGTCCCCTGTGTCCCATGGTTCCCCGGGCCCCCCTGCGCCCCTGGGCCTCCTGAGCCCCCGGGCCCCCTGCGCCCCCGGGCCCCCTGTGCCCCATGGTTCCCCAGGCCCCCTGCGCCCCCGGGCCCCCTGCGCCCCTGGGCCCCCTGCGCCCCCGGACCCCCTGCGCCCCCGGCCCCCTGCGCCACCCCCCGGCGCCCCCGAGCCCCCTGGACCTCCGGGCCCCCTGCGCCCCCGGGCCCCCTGCGCCCCATGGTTCCCCAGGCCCCCTGCGCCCCCCGGGCCCCCTGCGCCCCTGGGCCCCCTGCGCCCCCGGACCCCCCTGCGCCCCCGGCCCCCTGCGCCACCCCCCGGCGCCCCCGAGCCCCCTGGACCTCCGGGCCCCCTGCGCCCCCGGGCCCCCTGCGCCCCATGGTTCCCCAGGCCCCCTGCGCCCCCGGGCCCCCTGCGCCCCTGGGCCCCCTGCGCCCCCGGACCCCCTGCGCCCCCGGCCCCCTGCGCCACCCCCCGGCGCCCCCGAGCCCCCTGGACCTCCGGGCCCCCTGCGCCCCCGGGCCCCCTGCGCCCCATGGTTCCCCAGGCCCCCTGCGCCCCCGGGCCCCCTGCGCCCCTGGGCCCCCTGCGCCCCCCGGACCCCCTGCGCCCCCGGCCCCCTGCGCCACCCCCGGCGCCCCCGAGCCCCCTGGACCTCCGGGCCCCCTGCGCCCCCGGGCCTCCTGAGCCCCTAGGTCCCCAGGAACCCCAGCGCTGCCGTCCGGTGAGCAGGGGCGGAGCCGGGGCGGCAGAGGGAGATTCACCCTGGCTCTGGCCTTGCCAACTGCGTCTAGGTGGATCCAAGCGCGGCCTAGGCGCCTCCCTCCCTCCCTCCCTCTCTCCCCCCTCCCTCCTTCCCTCCCTTTCCTCTCCCTCCCTCCCCCCTCTCCCCCTTCCCTCCCTCCTCCCTCCCTCTCTCCCTCCTTCCCTACCTCTCCCTCCTCCCTCCCCTCTCTCCCTCCTTCCCTACCTCTCCCCCTCCCTCCTTCCCTCCCTTTCCCTCCTTCCCTCCCCCCTCCCTCCTTCCCTCCCTTTCCCTCCTTCCCTCCCCCTCCCTCCCTCCCTCCTTCCCTCCCCCTCCCTCCTTCCCTCCCTCTGCCCCCTCCTGTTTGGGGCTTTTCCTCCTCAGTACATCCACAGCTAAAGCAGTGGATAGGGGTCAGGACACAGGGGCCTCCGGCCACGGGCCTCCTCCTCTCCCTCCTCCCCCTTCCTCCTCTCCCTCCTTGCCCTCCCCACTCCTCCCTCCCCCTCCCCCCTCCCCTCTCCTCCCTCCCCTCCCCCCTCCCCTCCCCTCCCCTCTCTTCCCCCCTTCCCCTCTCCTCCTCTCCTCACTCCCCTCCCCCTTCTTCCTCCTCCCCCCTCCCCTCCCCCCTCCTCCCCTCTCCTCCCCCCTCCGTTCTCCGGTGGGTTTTTTTTTTGGCCTGGAGGGGGCGGGGGAGCGGGAATCGAGAGACAGAAAGATTGCGAGTGAGCAAGGGAGAGCCAGCGAGCCAGCGAGGGAGAGCAGAGCGAGGGAGAGCGAGCCAGGGAGCGAGCCAGGGAGCGAGCGCGCCAGGCAGGCAGCCGGGCGGCCAGGCAGCGCGGCCGGGCGGGCGCGGGCGCGGGCGCGGGCGCCGATGGCGTCGCTGTACCAGCGCTTCTCGGGCAAGATCAACACCTCGCGCTCCTTCCCGGCGCCGCCCGAGGCCAGCCGCCTCCTGGGCGGCCCGGGCCCCGACGAGGACGGCGGCCCCCGCGGGGCGGCGCGGCCCCCCGGCCCGCAGGCGGCGGCGGCCCCGGCCCGGGCGCGCGGCGCGGGCGGCCGGCCCCGCTTCCAGTACCAGGCGCGGAGCGACGGTGACGACGAGGACGTAAGCGCTCGGCGGGGGCTGGGGGGCCCTCCCTCCGCCCTCCCTCCCCTCCCCTCCCCCCTCCCGCAGCCCCCGCCTCAGCCCGCGCGGAGCCGGCTCTGCCTGCGCGGCGGCCCGGCGAGCGCGGCTCCGGCTCCGGCTCCGACTGCGGCGCCCGCCCGCCCGGCCGCCCGCGGGTCCGGGCGCGGGGAGGGGACGTCGGGGTCTCGCTGCCGTGGTGACCGGGGCCGTCGGTCCCCGACGTGGCCGTCTCCTGGGAATCCGCCCCCCTGTGCTGGGACTCGGGACGGGCGCCGGCCTCCCCGCGCCGGCCTCCCTCCTCCGGCCTTCCCGCGCGGGGTCCCTCCTCCGGCCTCCCCCTCCGGCCTCCCCGCGCGGGCCTCCCTCCTCCGGCCTCCCCCTCCGGCCTCCGGGACCCCTCGCCCTGGGGGAGGGGGTCTGCGATGACCTCCCGAAGACAAAACACCCCCAAACCAAGAAGTACCACCCTCAGCCCCCCGCCCGGGCCCGGCCCACCCTCAGCGCGCCCCCTGCCCCGACCGGGCCTTTCCGGCTGGGAAAGTTCTCCCTGGGAAGTCCGCCCTGCCGGGCCTGGGCCGAGGTTCGATTCGCCTCCCGCCCAGCAGCCAAGGGCGGCCGGGCCCATCGGCGCCGCTGGGGTGGCTTCGGGCCGGCCTGCGGGGTCCCCCTGGCCTCAGCGCCCGGGGCCCGCCGCCCCCCTCGCCCGGGACACCGGGACGCCACGGTGTGGCATTTCCCTAGTGCAAGAAGCGCGAGTGAGCGTGTGCGCGTGTGAGCTGTGCGCGTGTGAGTGTGTGCGCGTGTGAGCGTGTGCGCGTGCTTGGGACGGGGTGGCAAGCGCCTCTTGGGGTCACTTCTCAAGGACCAGGTCTGCAAGGCCCCGTGGGCTTCTGCTGTTCCTCGTCACTTCGTTGTGCACGGGTCTGGAGGCCCGTGGACGTTTCCAGAAGGGACACGTCTGTGGGGATGGTTGGCACAAGCGTGCACTTGGTGTCCTTTCCTCCCTCCGGAGACCCAGGGGTCCCCTCCGATCACCCCAGGACTTCCCAGGCGGGCGGCGGAGGAGGCCGGCCCGGGCCGGGGTTCTCTGGGAGGCCTGTGTCTTGCGGGGACCCCAGGGAGGACCCTGCAGGACTGTGTCGCCCGGGCCCAGGAAGACAGCACAGCTGCGGGGCAGACAGCGGGCCAAGGGCGCCTTTCCTGCCTGACTCTGACTTAAACTATCAGCTTAGGCTTCTCGTGAGCCTGTGCTGGCCGGGCTCTAGGTGTCGCCAGCAGAAAGGAAAGGCAAAGTCTCTGAGCGGCCAGACGGTCTCTGCCCAGCTCTTTCCTTCCTCACCCTTGTTTCTTGTTTGTTTGGGGTGTCTCGTTTGCCATAAATCTTACCTTACAGAACATGGTGCCTTCTTTTCCTTTTGATAGATGTCAGGAACTACTTTTCAGATGAGCAAAAAGCATGAAAGAAACTAATCTGGCCTAAACAATGACAGCTGTTTCCCATTAGTAGAGATGACTTAGATCCATTAGATCCTGGCGTCCACGCTCACTTCCTGGAAAATGCGGATGTGTGCCAGTGTCTCTGTGCACACACATGTGAGCATACGTGTGTGTGTGTGTCCGTGTGTATCTATGGCAGGTTAAAATGTCTCTGTTTTTCATTTTCCCCAAATATGTCTGCTCAAAGTAAGTATATATCTGCAGACATACATCACACAGAGCTCTTACAGTGAGGCAGAGATAGGTAGGATGAACAGGTGTGGAAATCTAATAGCCGTCATGAGAATTTTAGGCAATAAATGATGTGCGGGATGATTGGTGCTGAGAAGCACGTAGCTGTGCATGCCCAAACCACGAGCAGCAGCTCTGTGAGGGCAGAGTGTGCTCATTTGCTCCCCTTTAACAACCTTACTCTCTGTGTAGACCCGTATTACCATTTTGTCCTTCAAAAATAGACAACGAAAGTTAAGCTTAAAATGTAAAATTAGGCACAATACAGTGCTAAACATAGTCTCTTGATTTCTTAAAAGCATATGTACTTTTCCCATAAAAATTAGTAAAAAGTATTGATTCAAGCATTTATCAAGCATTTATCTGTCTTCTGGATCAAACATTTTGATTTGCTTAACAAAATATACTAGTTAAAGGAAAACATTGGACCTAAAAACTAATTCCCTTCCTTCCTTCCTTCCTTCCTTCCTTCCTTCCTTCCTTCCTTCCTTCCTTCCTTCCTTCCTTCCTTCCTTCCTTCCCTCCCTCCCTCCCTCCCTCCCCTCTCTCCCTCCTACCCTCCCTCCCTCCCTCCCTCCCTCCCTCTCTCTCTCTCTCTCTCTCTCTCTCTCTCCCTTTCTTTCTTTCTTTCTTCCTCCTTTTTGACTAGACACTGGTAGCTCACATATATAATCCTTGCTGCTCAGGAGTCTGAAATCTGAGGGTCACAGTTCAAAGCCAGCCTGGACAAAAAAAAAAAAAAAGTCTGAGAAACTCATCTCCAATTAACCACCAATAAGCCAGAAGCAGAGCTGTGACTCAGGTGGTATGGTACCAGCCTTGAGTACAAAATCTCAGGGACAGTACCCAGGCCCTGAGTTCAAGCCCTAGCGTAGCACTCACACACACACACACACACACACACACACACACACACACACACACAGCCATTGCTTTCTTTATATCACTCTTGGTCAAGATTGAAGAATCTCAAGTAATCACATTTTTCTCCCTAAACTTGTAGCTGACACATGCAACCTATTGCATTCCTGAGGACTCTGGGGGCAAACCTCCTCATCCAGGTTCATCCCCTGAAGGTCCTTGGGTGGGTGCTGTCCAAGGTGCTGATTGCCTTATCATTGAGGAACTCTCCATCCGTTTTGCCCAGCAGCTCCTGCCGGACAGCTCTTCTGTGACTGGCCAGGGAATGCCCTTACAATGCCCAGAAACAACCTTTCTCTCTGGGCCTTTAGAACACAGGGCTTTGTGCAGGCAGCCCTCCTATCCAGAAAGGAAGACATGACATGCAGTTCTGAGCCTCTGGACGTGTGTGTACACAAACGTGGCTCTGTATGATTAGTAATAACAGCGTTCCCTTCAAATAAGATTTATCCTGCAGGTGAGATGACACAAAGTCAACACAGAAAGAGGAAACGCAGAGTTGCACAGCCTGCTGTGAACACTAATATTGCCTCAGTGCTCCTACATTTGTAACACAGGACCCCTAGGTCAGCCCGGCAGAAGTGTCTGTGCTGGAGAGTCAGTCTAAGAAGTGAAGTTAGACATTAGAGACAAAGCCACGAGGTCTCTTTCATCTGCTTTTATATAAATCTTAGATTTATTTACATATAAAGCCCATGATTTGTGCCAGTACTGCAAGGAATCTGTAGACATCTGGATTCAAAATTCATTGTGTAGATTTAAAACCAAGTTGGCTCTTAAAGAGGCTGTTGATGGGCTTTTAATGGAATAAAACAACTTCTAATTAGAATCAACCATGAGTGATTTAAAGTTCTGAACTCCGTCTCTCCTTGAATATCTGTTTCCTGCAAGACTTTGGGGACTGTGCACTGCTGGGCAGGAGGTTTTCAAGGTCGAGTGTGTGGTGTGATCCCATAGCCTTCCCATTTTGGTGACATGATGTTTCCTAATTACAGAGGTGATGATGATGGGAATTTAAGATGGTCATCTGACAGATCACTGCCTGAGGTATCTCTCGGCCTGCTAGGTGTAAGTCATTTATTTCAGATGTTGTTTGCAACCTTCTTTCCTACAAGGCTGATCTTTCAGTGGTATGTTGCCAACAACCTACCTATTAAAGTATCTGATGACCATGAGTATGTTTATTTACTCTGTTACTTTCTACCATTCCAATTTTAAGTGTGAAGTTTTTATTTTCACATCATCTCCCAGGAAAAGACTTAAGGCTCTCCGTTGGATGTTTTCACTGCTTCAGCCAGGCCTGCAGCACTCCCCTCCACCAGCAGAGCGGGGCATGTCATGGGGTCCGGGTCATTTGGAACTTGAAGTTGTGTGGAGGTGCAGCATAGCCCGTTCCCCATCCCAGCCTGGCTGTGGAGATCAGGAAGCCTCCAGTGCCTGTGTGGCTGCTCTTCTGATAGAGTTTACTCTCATTGCTTCCCCTTGCTCCTTCCCCCCAATCTTCCTTCTCTCCTTGCCTCCCAGGGGCCCTGCCACTGGCCTGCCCTGCTTGCTCCTTTTGTTTTCCACCTTCTCAAAACAAGTGGTCCTGACTGATTCCACTCCTGTGGCTTTTGCTGAACTCTCTTCCTTGACTAGCTTGGATGTGGACGTGCATTCTTGCTGTCTTCACACAGCAAGGCACCAGGGTCCTCTGACAATGGAGATAATGGCCTGCTATCCGCCTGTCAGGGGATTTTGTTCTTGGCGATCACCATGCCGCTCCTCCGGCTTGGTACTCCGCGCCTTTTGTGAGTCAGCCTTCCAGTTTTTTGGTGAATCCGCCCCTTCTCTAACCCTCTGAGGTTTGGGTCTCATGTATTTCATTCTTCCCCTTTCATGCTTTTATGTAAGATAAATTATCATTTTGTATGGAAGAGAACCAGATGTGTCCTGTGACTTCGCCCTGAAGGTAGTGTCTATGAGAGGATGGCATCTGGATTGCCTGTGAGCACGTCTGAAGAGGATTTGTTTTTATAATGTGTAGAGTGGGCAGGCCTGGTGCATGGCCCCGCCTTCCTGATCTCCCTCCTGAGTGTGTGTGTCACCTTTCAGGCCGCCTACTGACTTGGCGGTTTGTGGTGGTGACAGGTGCCCACGTGGACACCTCTGAGCTCGCTTCCCCTCCCTTCCCCACGCCTCTGAGCTCGCTTCCCCTCCCCTCCCCACGCCTCTGAGCTCGCTTCTCCTCCCCTCCCCACGCCTCTGAGCTCGCTTCCCCTCCCTTCCCCACGCCTCTGAGCTCGCTTCCCCTCCCCTCCCCACGCCTCTGAGCTCGCTTCCCCTCCCCT